CGTGACTTGTGAACTATAAATAAATAGAATTTTGCTTTATTAAGTAATGACTTTAGTTGAATTGGATTGTACTTTTTTAACTATTGACGTTTTTAAAGATATAAGCTCATCCCGGTATTATACTTATCATACGCTTTCATTTGAGTACCCACATGCATTTTTATATATTTTTCATATATACATATATATATAATATATATAAATATATGATAAATTGATGTGGGTACTTAAATGAAAGCTCTTGATGAATGTAACATCTTTAAAAACATCAATATTTAAAAAAGTAGAGTGCAGTTTAACAAATCTGTAGATACATAATTAAGAAATTACCTTTTATCTTGTGAAATATTGAGATTTGCAATGATATAAGCTCATCCCGATGTTACACTCATCAAGACTTTTCATTTGAGTACCCACATCAATTTTTCATATATTTATATATATATTATATATATGTATATATATGAAAAATATATAAAAATGCATGTGGGTACTCAAATGAAAGCTCTTGATAAGTGTAACATCGGAATGAACTTATATCTTTAAAAACGTCAATATTTAAGAAAATACAGTGCAATTTAACAAAAATCATTATTTAAGAAAACAATATTTTAATTTTGTATAGTTCACAAATCACGGCAGTCACATAGTGACTGCAAGGTTGGTAGTATAATATAATCTGATAAATAAAAGTAACAATGCAGTATAAATTCAATACAATAACAAACCTAGAACTTTGAAGAATTTCTTGGCTTGTTGATGTGGTAGTTACTTCTTCCTGATTTAAAGGACATGATTCCGTGGCTGAAGAAATGGCTAAATTACCTTTATTATTATTATTGTTGTTGTTATTATTATTAATTAAAACTGGCAAAACATTATTGTTTTCTTCTCTAGAACCACGACGAGATTCAGCGTGTTCGAATATCTCATGAAGTTCACCAACAGAATTAGAACTCTCAGTGCGAATTAACTTTTCTACTTGCCAACTCTGAGCTTCAACACTCAGTGAAGGTCTCCTTACTGTCACACGGCCTGTCACTGAATTACGCTGCTTAATTCCATCCTTTGTTACATCTTGGCCTATTCCAATAGGTCGAAAGATCGTGGCTATGCTCGCTCGTCTTCTAGCTATCTACAACGTTTATCAACAATTGAGTAAACATTTTAAGAATAATAGCTTCACTCGTATTACTAATTTAAATAAAAAAGCAATGCATCAGTAGTAAATGTTAAATAAAATTAATTAATTAATTTAACAGAATGTTAGGTAATTATTTACAAGGGGGGTCAACCCCATTTTGGGCCATAATTATTTAAAAAAAAAAAAATATATCAACAAAATCAAATAGAAATTTCATTTAAAAAAAAGAAAATTAAAATGGACCCCACTTGTAAATATTTACCGAATGTTAAAAGGCAAAAGCGGTTATGAGCTGTAGAGAAAAATATTTTATTGATCTATTATCGCACCATTGTACGATTAGAAGTTGGTAATCCACGGTAACGAATTACAGTAAATTCCTCACCGTTTTCCCCATTGCTCTCGTCAACAATAATATTATTTTCTGCTAGGATTCGCCTATAAGAAGAATAGACATTGAAAAAATGTTTTTTTTTTTTTGACAATAAAATAAATAAATTATAAGCCAATAAAGGAGAAGAAGCAACAGGAATTTGCAAGAGTTTATAAATTTAGACTCTCACTTAGATTCTGTTAAATCACGGTCAAGTTTTTCACATCGACTACGCAGCAGCCTCAAATATCTATCCGCAAGATGAATAGCCCGAGAAATTCTGTATTCCTGTTGAATAGCTCCAAGTGTTTCAGCAGCACAAGACACTTTCCGTGCACACTGTGCTATTATTTCTATTTGATTCCTTGCACGTTCTATCCTATCAATTGTCTCACTGTCAAAGCACAATGGCGCGAGTTCCTGATAAGTTTAATACGTTGTCCATTTTTTTTTGCCTTTTATATATTTTATACAAGTACATATATCTTTGCAATGTTAATTTTTAGTTTATATTTTTTATTTATTTATTTTTTTAATTAAATTATGGTTTATACTTGCCTCAATACTTTGTTGCATCCTTGTTACTTCATTAGTAAAATTCCTTTCCGTTTGATCACGTCGACGTTGAGATAATGTTTTTCTACGTGAAAGTGTCAATCTATCAGTACAGAGTCCAAGGGAAAATGCTACGTATTTTCGCTAAAATTTTTAAAAGTTCAAAAAATAAATTTATACTTAATTATAATAAAAATGTGTGGTAAGTATTTACAAGTGGGATCAACGATTTTCATTTTCATTTTTTTTTAACGAAATTTCTATTTGATTTTATTGATATATTTTTTTTTTGAAAAATAAATAAAAAAATGAACAATTTAAAAAATAAAAGTTGATTATCACAACTGTAACAAATTTTCAAAAAAATTTATAAATTTTTTAGAAAATTGTGATATTCAACTTTTTTTTTTTTTATATACTTAAAAAAAATATATATAAATCAAAAACATCAAAAAAAGAAGGAATAGAAATTTTATTCAAAAACATAAAAGCCAAAATTTTTTCCAACTTTTGAAAGCAAAAAAAGGGTAGGTACCGTTTACATATACCCCGATGATACATAATAGGTATCAATTACCCAAATCCCAATGATACATATTCTAATGATTCGAGTTTTATTAACACATTTATCCAATGATATATATGTATCATAATACATATCCCGATGATACATATAATTGAAATTACAATTACAATCCCCGGTAAAAAATAAGATGCCACCTATTTTTATCAGCGATTTTGTTTTGATTTATGTATCATTGGGATATGTATCATTGCACATATGTATCATTGGGTATATATGTTAATAAAACTTGAATAATTTGAATATGTATGATCGGGATACGCGTCAACGACATCTACCCTAAAAAAAATTAAAAATTGTTCATTTTTCACCTAAATTTGGCCAAAAATAGGGTTGACCCCACTTGTAAATAATTACCAAACGTGTTTTTTTTATTAAATTACCTCTAATTCGCCTTCAACTAAATCTTTTTCTCTATAAAAAAAAAATTGTATAAATATACTCTGATAAATTATACACAAATAAACTAGTGATTAAGTAAAATCATAAAATTATATTCTTACTCTAAGTCATCCGTATCGGATAAATGAGCAATTCCTGATTCTTGTAAACGAAAATCCGTGAGACTCGGAAAAACAGTTAGTTTAAATTCCTGATAGTTGACATTTAATTTAGGCTTTTCAACATCGCAAATATAGAGATTACTTTCGTGACCACATCCAAGGTTTTCACTCTCTGACCTCGATCTTTTCATAACTGGCAGTATCTGAAATAAATAGAAATAAAATACATAATCAACGATCATTAAACATATTTATTTATAACATTTTATAATTATTTTTAGATTGCATAAAAGTAAAATGAAATTTTACTCCTGATCAAGATTTTTTAATACAAATACAATTTTTTTTTTATCGTTTAATTAATTACAATTTAAATTGCAATCACACTTTAATGAACGTGCAAAATAAACTTAAATGATTTCAAGTACAAATTAATCAACGTCAATTAATCACATCACTTTAATATAAAGTAATAAAATATAATAAAAATGATGATATAATAATGAAAACATATAAATTAAATATTTACCTCGCGCTTAGCAGTTGGCTTATAAGTAAATGTTTTGTCATTAATTTTTTTCGCTCCATTTGATAAATTAATTTTGACTGGATTTGAAAGTACTTGAAAGGATTCATCGACGTGCGACGATTGATTTGCATCCAATGAGTCACGTGTATATTGAGCATTTTTAATATTAGTCGGTGAATTATTATCATTATCATTATTATTATCTTTATTATCACAAGTAATAGCCGAATCACTGTCTGATGAATCCGAGCTATCCTCACCACTCGACATTGCAAGCGTGACTGCAGCTGATTCGCTAGCGGCCTTTTCAGTTACTGCATAAATGTCGCATTTATTACGATTATTATAAAACTGCTTCTGTGATCCAGAATTACTACCCGATTCAATCGTCCACGTGATGTTCTTCAATTCTTTCCGCACTGATGTATTCTCTGTTATGATAAATATTCATTAAATAAATTAATTATCAATGTTTATAATCCAATACATTTTTTTCTTAATTTTTGGTAATTATTTACAAATGGGGTCAAAACCTATTTTTAATCTTTCAAGTTTGAAAAAATGGGACATAGTTTTCTTCTTTATTGTTTACATGCAAAATTTTTTAAAAATACTTTGTTTGGAACGAAAGGAACGAATTGTAAATTTTCGCAAGCCTTAGTATAATTTTTTATTTGGAGGAAAAAAAATTGTATACTTTATACATAAAAGAATATTAGTATTTATAATATGAGGATCAAATAATATGAGTTGTTGATCTATTTTTGGCTATATTTAGGTGAAAATTTAACATTTTTTTTATTCTGCTGGTGTTTACGGCGTATTTATGATAACAAATGTCGTGAAAGAAAAAATTAAAGATTTCAATAGCTTTTTTGCCTTCAAAAGTTGGAAAAAATTTTGGCTTTTATGTTTTTGGATAAAATTTCTATTTTATCTTTTTTTAATGTTTTTAATATATATATATATATATATATGTATTTTTTTAAGTACATAAAAAACGAACAATTAAAAGAAATAAAGTTGTGTCACAATTTTCTAAAAAATTTATAAATTGTTCATTTCTTATGTATGTAAAAACATATATATCAATAAAATCAAATATAAATCCCCTTTAGGGACATAAATAGGGAGCTGTGTATATATGTTGGCGAAATTGAAAGACTATTTAAAGAGAATGAGTGTTACAATATCGAATGTCAGAAAAAGGCTGTCATTAATATACAGGGATAGATACAAGGTGAATATAAGTATGAAATAGTATAAATAATATTGTAATGCGACTGTGATATGAAGGATGAGTGTGACAAAAGTTAAAAGCGAGTACAATCATATTAAAAATTAAATTAAAGTTAGTGTATATACAAATGTAAATAATTAAATTAAGATATAAGATACATTTTTTAAAACACAATATGTGATACAAATAAAAATGATATTCTATTCGATAAATTTCCTTTAAAAAAATGAAAATTAAAATAGTTGACCTCTACTTGTAAATATTTACTATAACTAACACGGGGAAAAATTTTGACTCTAGTTGTTTTGGATAAAATTTCTATTTTTTTTTTTTTTTAAAGTAATCAACTTTTTTTTTTAATTGTTCATTTTTTTATTTTTCAAAAAAAAATATATCAATAAAATCAGGTAGAAATTTCTTTCAAAAAACTGAAAATTAAAATGTACCCCACTTGTAAATAATTACCAATTTTTTTTTTTTAATGCAATTAAAATTACCTTTATCTGAACTGCTGTACTGATCATCATTGGAAATCGGCGTTGAACTCTCTATTAATTTTTTATCGATGCCAAGTAGATTAAATTGACTTGAATCATTATCAGTCGTCGCCAAATTTTCACTAGGCACCAAATATTGCTTTGTAATTTTCGCAGATGAAAAATTAAATTTTGCCGGCGCAATATTAAATTTCACTTGATTATTTGCTACTGAAGTAGATTCACCGCCATCATTAATTGAATTTTCCTCTAACGAAGCTTGTAGTTGAGATAAATTACCCGATGAATCGCTACTAGATTCTTGAGCTGTGCGATAAGTATTAAGTTCTGGAATTGGATCGGGAACAGGAGTACTACTTGTAAAATTTTCATTAGACGATTGTGATTCTAATATTTTATCCAGATCACTTGTTCGCGCAAATACGGAAATTTTTCTTCTTGGTGCGTTTTTTTCACTCATTATTGGCGTGTTACAGATAATCGGACTCCATTCAGTATTTTTATTTGGCAACAAGTGTTGTTTTGTTGTTGAAATCTGCGATGGTTTTTTCACAATACGTGTCTCATTTATAAGCAGTTTGTTGTTGTAAGTATTCTTCTTTTTATTGTTATCACAATTGACTGTGGTATATGGATTTATTTTTGTCTCAACACTATTAGAAGATAACGATGACAACAGATTCTCTTTAATGTTTAAATTCGATGAATTATTCCTAAAAAAAATTAAATAAAATTTATAATGTAATTTATAGAGACACTTTCTAAAATATTTTTGTCTAAACTTCCTAACTCGCGGTCATCACAAGTAATTCTAATATAAATCTGCTTGACATTAAAATGATAATGACGACAATCATCAGAAATATAGATAGATACAGTTCTGTCGTTATATAGAAGGTAATAAAACCATTGATCGAGTTGTCGTCGCTTGTAATAACAAGGAGACCTTGGTTTTTAATTGTATAAACAATCAGTGTCGAGGAATGTGAGCTCCATTAGTAGCTCTGGCATTGCAATTTCCAGGTTTAGCGCTTCATAAGTCTATTTAGACAACTGCAGCGTTCACTTTTTAATAATTATAATGTAAGAATTGATGATACATTGGTTTTATGTCGAGCATTATTTGTACTTTAAATATTAATCTGTATTAATATGAAAAAAAGAAAAATTTTGTTTCAAGGATAGTAATATGATAAAATCAGTTTTTTTTTAGTAAAATTTAGTGTCATTGCAAAGGTCTTGACTTGAATTTGTGCCTTTTTAAAGTTTCATTTAATTCAGTTAATTTATTATGATTTACTTAGGCTGCATTCGAAAATGCTCTATCTCTAGATACATAATTAAAAAATGACCTTGTATCTTGTGAAATATTGACATTTTTAAAGATATAAGCTCATCCTAATGTTATAGTTATCGAGACCTTTCATTTGAGTACCCACATCAATTTTTTATATATTTTATATATTTATATATATGAGAAATATAATATATATAAAATATATGAAAATAATCGTGTGCGTACTCGAATGAAAGGTCTTGATGAGTGTAACATCGGGATGAGCTTATATCTTTAAAAAAAATCGATAGTTAAGAAATGACCTTATATCTTAGTGAAAATGGACATTTTTAAAGATATAAGCTCATCCCGACATTACACTCATCGAGACCTTTCATTTGAGTACCCACATCAATTTTCCATATATTTTATATATTTATATATAATATATAAATATATAAAATATATGAAAAATTAATGTGGGTACTCAAATGAAAGGTCTCGATGAGTGTAACATCAAGATGAGCTTATATCTTTAAAAATGTCAATAGTTCACAAGATACAAGGTCATTTCTTAATTATAT